ATTGTAAAGGCATTCTCTCACCAATCAATCTCAGAGCAACTGTATCACTGAAGCATTGATTCAAAGATACACTACAACTGTGGTACACAAGGATGTTGTAGGAGCTGTACAAGTGTCTGAATGTCACACTGAACTACTGTGACTATCGGGAACTTCGCGATATGCTGAGTCATTGTAAAGACATTCTCTCACCAGATCAATCTCGGAGCAACTGTATCATTGAACCAGTGATTCATAGATACACTACAACTGTGGTAAACAAGGATGTTGTAGGAGCTGTACAAGTATCTGAATCGCACTGAACTATTGCGACTATCAGGAACTTCACGATGTGCTGAGTCATTGTAAAGGCATTCTCTCACCAGATCAATCTCGGAGCAACTGTATCATTGAACCAGTGATTCAAAGATACACTACAACTGTGGTACACAAGGATGTTGTAGGAGCTTTACAAGTATCTGAATGTCACACTGAACTACTGTGACTGTCAGGAACTTCACGATATGCTGAGTCATTGTAAAGACATTCTCTTACCAATCAATCTCGGAGCAACTGTATCATTGAACCAGTGATTCAAAGATACACTACAACTGTGGTACACAAGGATGTTGTAGGGGCTGTACAAGTATCTGAATGTCACACTGAACTACTGTGACTATCAGGAACTTCACGATATGCTGAGTCATTGTAAAGACATTCTCTCACCAATCAATCTCAGAGCAACTGTATCATTGAACCAGTGATTCATAGGTACACTACAACTGTGGTACACAAGGATGTTGTAGGGGCTGTACAAGTATCTGAATGTCACACTGAACTACTGTGACTATCAGGAACTTCACGATATGCTGAGTCATTGTAAAGACATTCTCTCACCAATCAATCTCAGAGCAGCCATCTCAGAATAGCCCAAACAGCTAATGGCAACTAAGGGACCTACAGTTTATAGTGGAATCCGAACCACATTTTTCCTTGGTATATACGAATTGGTCTAATTATCAGGATAGTACTGCGGATAGTCGTAATACTCACTAGTGCGGACGTTAATCCACACCAGGGAGTATCCCATCCACAGTGCATACCTATAAATATCCACAATCCGTGACCTCCTAGTAGCTGGATTACAGGACGGTATCATTGAACCAGTGATTCAAAGATACACTACAACTGTGGTACACAAGGATGTTGTAGGAGCTGTACAAGTATCTGAATCACACTGAACTACTGTGACTATCAGGAACTTCACGATATGCTGAGTCATTGTAAAGACATTCTCTCACCAGATCAATCTCGGAGCAACTGTATCATTGAACCAGTGATTCATCGATACACTACAACTGTGGTACACAAGGATGTTGTAGGAGCTGTACAAGTGTCTGAATGTCACACTGAACTATAGTGTGACTATCAGGAACTTCACGATATGCTGAGTCATTGTACAGACATTCTCTCTCTAACCAATTTCAGAGCAACTGTATCATTGAACCAGTGAATCAAAGATACACTACAACTGTGGTACACAAGGATGTTGTAGGAGCTGTACAAGTGTCTGAATGTCACACTGAACTACTGTGACTATCGGGAACTTCACGATATGCTGAGTCATTGTAAAGGCATTCTCTCACCAATCAATCTCAGAGCAACTGTATCATTGAACCAGTGATTCAAAGATACACTACAACTGTGGTACACAAGGGTGTTGTAGGAGCTGTACAAGTGTCTGAATGTCACACTGAACTACTGTGACTATCGGGAACTTCACGATATGCTGAGTCATTGTAAAGGCATTCTCTCACCAATCAATCTCAGAGCAACTGTATCACTGAAGCATTGATTCAAAGATACACTACAACTGTGGTACACAAGGATGTTGTAGGAGCTGTACAAGTGTCTGAATGTCACACTGAACTACTGTGACTATCGGGAACTTCGCGATATGCTGAGTCATTGTAAAGACATTCTCTCACCAGATCAATCTCGGAGCAACTGTATCATTGAACCAGTGATTCATAGATACACTACAACTGTGGTAAACAAGGATGTTGTAGGAGCTGTACAAGTATCTGAATCGCACTGAACTATTGCGACTATCAGGAACTTCACGATGTGCTGAGTCATTGTAAAGGCATTCTCTCACCAGATCAATCTCGGAGCAACTGTATCATTGAACCAGTGATTCAAAGATACACTACAACTGTGGTACACAAGGATGTTGTAGGAGCTTTACAAGTATCTGAATGTCACACTGAACTACTGTGACTGTCAGGAACTTCACGATATGCTGAGTCATTGTAAAGACATTCTCTTACCAATCAATCTCGGAGCAACTGTATCATTGAACCAGTGATTCAAAGATAGACTACAACTGTGGTACACAAGGATGTTGTAGGGGCTGTACAAGTATCTGAATGTCACACTGAACTACTGTGACTATCAGGAACTTCACGATATGCTGAGTCATTGTAAAGACATTCTCTCACCAATCAATCTCAGAGCAACTGTATCATTGAACCAGTGATTCATAGGTACACTACAACTGTGGTACACAAGGATGTTGTAGGGGCTGTACAAGTATCTGAATGTCACACTGAACTACTGTGACTATCAGGAACTTCACGATATGCTGAGTCATTGTAAAGACATTCTCTCACCAATCAATCTCAGAGCAGCCATCTCAGAATAGCCCAAACAGCTAATGGCAACTAAGGGACCTACAGTTTATAGTGGAATCCGAACCACATTTTTCCTTGGTATATACGAATTGGTCTAATTATCAGGATAGTACTGCGGATAGTCGTAATACTCACTAGTGCGGACTTTAATCCACACCAGGGAGTATCCCATCCACAGTGCATACCTATAAATATCCACAATCCGTGACCTCCTAGTAGCTGGATTACAGGACGGTATCATTGAACCAGTGATTCAAAGATACACTACAACTGTGGTACACAAGGATGTTGTAGGAGCTGTACAAGTATCTGAATCACACTGAACTACTGTGACTATCAGGAACTTCACGATATGCTGAGTCATTGTAAAGACATTCTCTCACCAGATCAATCTCGGAGCAACTGTATCATTGAACCAGTGATTCATCGATACACTACAACTGTGGTACACAAGGATGTTGTAGGAGCTGTACAAGTGTCTGAATGTCACACTGAACTATAGTGTGACTATCAGGAACTTCACGATATGCTGAGTCATTGTACAGACATTCTCTCTCTAACCAATTTCAGAGCAACTGTATCATTGAACCAGTGAATCAAAGATACACTACAACTGTGGTACACAAGGATGTTGTAGGAGCTGTACAAGTATCTGAATCACACTGAACTACTGCGACTATCCGGAACTTTACGATATGCTGAGTCATTGTAAAGACATTCTCTCAACAATCAATCTCGGAGCAACTGTATCATTGAACCAGTGATTCATAGATACACTACAACTTTGGTACACAAGGATGTTGTAGGAGCTGTACAAGTATCTGAATCACACTGAACTACTGTGACTATCAGGAACTTCATGATATGCTGAGTCATTTTAAAGGCATTTTCATTGTAAACTGAGAGCAAGTATATCAATGGACTTAGTTCCTTAGATTACGCTAAAACTGTTGTCCATAAATTTAATTGTCATTATTGAGTATTATTAAAATTATATACGCCATGCGCGTACAGTGTGACACACCTGCGCGTATTGCCAAATAGTATAATTAAAATACGTCAATTAAATTTTATACACGAACAAAATTGCGTTAATTTTAAATCAAATGTTTTACCTCAAACGTATTTAATTTTAAATATTTTACTAATTTTGTAATTTTCATACGGTGACCAACTAAGGTAAATCATACAAAACACATCAAATTACACAAAATAACACACAGAAACAACTACAACTCTAATTTAAAAGGCAATTAACCCAACTCTACTTACTATGTACACACTACGCGTTAACGACAATAGATTAACATTTATTTTATGGGTGTAAACAAGAACAAACAAAAGAATACGAATTACTAGTTGTCTACATAAAATAAACAGTAGCACTTGCAGATTTTACCTACAAAGATGTTTTATTAACAGAAGGTCAGAAATAGGGAATAAAATGTCTGTGCTACTTAACAATCAAAGTTACCCATTTAAGACTCAGAAATTCACAGTTATAGGTTACAGAATATACAAAAAGAATTAAATATAGACCACCAGCTGTGCTGCGGTTACCATAGGTTCTGGCGCACACCGCTGGGAGCGCCATGTAGCTACGGCGTACGCGCTACGTAACTACGCGGCGCTCCCAGCTGTGTGCGCCAGAACCTATGGTTAAATATGGTAACCGCAGCACGGCTGACAGTATATATTTAACTATTTTTGTCTATGGTAACAGTTAACAAAATGAATGATAACATCTATATACCATGCAGTAATAAGTTTCAAAGTTGCAACAGTATTTATTTCAATACACCATAGATTAACGATATACAAACGAGATAAATGACATCGAAACAGTGTTTAATGTTCTGTATTCATTACTGAACTGATTTATTCCTGATACAGTACATATCAATAATATACGATGTTTTCATTTGACTGTCCTCGTAAAAATGAAACTAGATTGATAATTAAACATATACATCGATGAACTAAACTTGATACGCCATAAATATTAATTGGAACTGTTCATCAATTCGACGTATTGAAAAATGTATCGATACTTTTACTCTATCATAAAACAGCTGATGTAAATAAAACAAATTCACTGTGATACGCAAGTAAACAAAATACATGAATGTGTAATGTATTGACACGTAGGCCTATATTTGACGATTCCCCAAAAATTTTCTAGGTGTCTCGATCCGATATTGTCATATCGATACAAATTCGATCCAATCCACCATATCGATACTTTCATTCGATTTAACGATTTAAGTAATTAGGAAGATCTGAAATATTACGTACATGTTATTATTGTTTAGTCTGACAGTTTCTTACCTGGAGTGGAAGCCGTTGTATTCCTCGGGCGTGATGGGGGCGGAACCGTCTTCTATCTCACTCGGCGAAGTCATTCTCACTCACTACGTCAATGTCTAAGTTGCACAATCACCACAAATTTACCACTCCCAACGGTCAAAAATCTATAGGAACATGCAGGTAAGTTACTACCTCGTACAAGGTATGTTACTACCTCAGACAAGGAATGTTACTACCTCGGAAAATACATGTTACTACCTCGGGTAAGGTATGCTATTACGTCGGATTAAGTATGTTACTACCTCGAGTAAAGTATCTTACTACCTCTGACAAGGAACGTTATTACGTCAAATTAAGTATGTTACTACGTCGGGTAAAGTATCTTACTACCTCTAACAAGGAACTTTATTACGTCAAATTAAGTATGTTACTACCTCGAGTAAAGTATCTTACTACCTCTGACAAGGAACGTTATTACGTCAAATTAAGTATGTTACTACGTCGGGTAAATTATCTTTCTACCTCGAATACGGTATGCTATTACGTCGGATAAGGTACGGTATGTTACTACCACGGGTAAAGTATCTTACTACCTCGGATAAGGTATGCTATTACGTCGGATAAGGTATGTTACTACCACGGGTAAAGTATCTTACTACCTCTGACACAAGGTATGTTATTACGCCGGAAAAGTATGTTACTACGTCTGGTAAAGTATCTTACTACCTCGGATAAGGTATGCTATTACGTCGGATAAGGTATGTTACTACCACGGGCAAAGTATCTTACTACCTCGTACAAGGTATGTTACAACCTCAGACAAGGAATGTTACTACCTCGGGTAAGGTAAGTTATTATAGCCTACGTTGAATATGGTATGTTCCTACGTCGGGTAAAAGTATCTTACTATCTCTGATAAGATATGCTATTACGTCGGATTAAGTATGTTACTACGTCGGGTAAAGTATCTTACTACCTATGACAAGGAATGTTATTACGTCGTTAAACATGTTACTTTATCGAGTAAAGTATCTTACTACCCGTATCTTACTTAATACTTAAGTACCGTATCTTGCTTAAGTATCTTACTTAATAATGTATGCTATTACGTCAGATTAATTATGTTACTACCACGGGTAAAGCATCTTACTACCTCGGATAAGGTATGTTACAACGTTGGACAAAGTATGTTACTACTTTATACAAGATATCTTACTACCTCGGCGAAGATTGGTACTACCTCCGATAAAGTATTTTACTACGTTCTACATGGCACACTACTATCATACAACGTAGTTAAATCAATACTTGTAGACGAATATAGTTGTTTCGCAGATATTTCAATCCCGACACAGGTCGTCAGTGTTTGACACGAATATTGTGATTAAACTCACGTCTACAAATAGTTGAAAAGGTCTTTGGATTTATGCGGACTGGAAGAGGTTGGGCTTCGCAATCGCAATTTTGTAAGTTTTTGAACGACTACAATAATAGACAAAAAGAATTAAATATGGAATGTCAGCCGTGTTGCGGTTACCATAGGTTTTGACGCACACCGCTGTGAGCGTTATGTAATTAAGGTGTACGCGCTAGGTAACTACACGGTGCTCCCGGCGGTGTGCGCCAGAACCTATGGTAACAGCACGGCTGACAGTCTATATCTAATTCTTTTTTTGTCTGTGCTACAATTTACGACGGTTGAATCTTCAACCTTTAAGTGTGTTCAAATGATCATAAACAAGTTCGAGAAATAATTTAACTGTTGGCAGCGTTTGATTTCATACTAACTATTAGTGCAAGTTATACATATAACAATTAAATACAAACAGTCTCGAAGCAACAATAAACGATTTAACATCGCCAGCATCAAAGGACAGTTTAAAGAAATTCCTGCAGTTGCAGATATACGATGTCGTAATATTTTGTTTACAAAGCGAATCACGAAGTAGTCTTTAAAGGTTATTAAATGTAACGTTTCATTGTATATTGCCATTGTCACACACGTGACGAGGAAACGTATTCGTTCAGGTATCCGATAATCGATTAGTATCAGCAATAAAACACGACAATGGCTTCGCTTTCTGTGGATTATTTTGCAATCGTGCATTTCCAGTGTAAACGCTGTGCGAAGAGTAATCAAAAACATTGGAAAATGATCATTTAAATCATAGAAAGTAGAATTAAATATAGACCGACAGCAGTGCTGCGGCTAGCATAAGCTCTGGCGTCCACCGCTAGGAGTGCCGTGTAGTTAGGCTACGTAGCACGTACGCCGAACTACACGGCACTCCTAGCGGTGTATGCCAGAACTTATACTAACCGCATCACTGCTGTTAGTAAACTATTGAATTATATTTGTCTATGTTTAAATACAATGCAAGGTCTCTTAAACGCCATCATTTTGGAAATTTATCTACTGTATATCCACAAAAATAGTAAAGGGCCCAAACATTTACGGGTACTCAATAAACGACCATGTTTTTTTCTGTTCATCAAGAGACATTTTAAATCAAAATATATTCTCCCATTACGAAATATATTTCAGAAAATACACTTCTCAAATTCAATTTGTTAAATTCTACATTGATGGCCCAGTTAATGAAAAAAAATCCGAAACAGAGAAATCATGTACAGTATAAATTAACTCTAATCCTGCAGCACTAAAGGGATGTGTAATTTTGATTAATTACTGATTAAGTAAGTAATCTTACTGTTTAGTGATTGAGTAATCTTTGATTACTCTTTGCTAATTTAATTTATCAGCTGATTTTTAAAATAAGTAAGTTAATTATTACGTTTGTTCTTTGTTGGTGTTTCGATTCATAACCAAATACAATGTTTCTTTAATGCTCTTGAATTTTGATTACTCTTTTTAACTGAATTAATCAGCTGATTTTTAAAATGAGTAAGTTAATTATTACGTTTGTTCTTTGTTGGTGTTTTGATTCATAACCAAATACAATGTTTGTTTAATGCTCTTGTTTAACTAGTGATTTTACAGTACGTAAACTGGCGGCCTGTGACGTGAAATCCTACAGGCTGGAGAGGACAGTTTCAGAACATCCCTCTGCTGGAGCCTCTGGTAACCTTGAGGTCGGATGAACTTGGCGACGTGGCGAGGCTCTCGAGGGTGGACCAAGGGAAAGTTGGGGAGGGCACGGGACAAACACTTGCGCAAACAGGAAACTCCAATGACTAATGAATGTGGCAACACCAAGCACACGATCATAATATGTAAACTTGTAATCCTGGGTAGGTAAACCATTGGATTGTGGATGGTGAAATAGATATCTAATTCCTATGTAAAAGCTGTTGTAAGTTTTATCGTTTTACAATTTGAGGCTGCTCTTTAGTGTACGTCCTATTCGAATGAAAAATATCAATATATTGATTATTCGATACATCGATTATTTCATTCTTGATGTATTGAATGAAATACCGGTAATCGATAAATCGAAAATTGTATTCGAATGAGTGTAGGACGTAAACTAAAGTGCAGCCCAATTTGGAACATTAGTATTAAAAAGTATATGGATGTTATCAATTTTGTACTGTTGTTGGTTGCTTGATTATTCATATTGTTAATATTTGTTATACACTTATTCCTATTGCTTGCTGACGTAGTTAAATTGTTGTTAATGCTTGTTTGCTTTTTTATCGTTTATCTCTGTCAATTGCCAGCCTCTCATAACGGTTTTCACATCTTGTTGGCCATCTGTAGTATACGAAATAATGTAAAATCGTGTATATCGTTGGTAGAAAATAAAATAAAATGTCTAACATTTCTTACCGTTGTGTATTTTAGTTGGTATTTTACTTCCAATAGCATTACTTTCATACGCCACTGCGATTGCCAAATAATGAAAGTTCCTGATGGCAAGACCTTCCTTCAGGCGTCGGCTCCTTCACAAACAAATACCTCAGACGTTCAGCTAAATATACACGAGTCTACTGTCATGGAATGACTAGACTAGGATCTTAGACCAAACGATTTGCACAAGTGGAATATTGGACTTGTTTGTACAATGTTGCAACACTGTGCAGACAAATCCTGGAGAATCCCTAGCCAAGCCCAAGTAACATTTGTGAATAGTTTAGATTTCCACGAGTATTCTCTGCCAAATGTTAGACTAGGAGGATTAACATTAATGTGTATCAAGTAAATGTCAAATCTTGGATTTTAACCATGTTGCTCTCTAGTGTGCTAATACATTTTGAAGAATACCACGCTGAATTCTCAACAGTCTGTTTTCAGGAGTCTTTTTGATAATGACGAAGCCTTATCTTTAAGAGAAGGTATAATCGAACCTTGGACTCATACAATGTACAATCCTGTGAGCTGGCAAATTTTAAAGAATTCCACATTAGGTAATGGTTATCGATAATTTTTATTAGTGTACTTGAAACGTAAAACCGTATTCCACTTTTCAAGAAATTATAAATATGCTTTATTTAACTCAAATAAAGTAATATTTTGAGACCACTGCCAGTAAATCACGCTTTTTACCTAAAACGCTTCAGGTTCTAGTCACTATGATAATGATTTCTTTCTGTATAAATATCCATCAATTGTCACAAATCCGGAATACATTTATTTGGCATTAGTATGATTTTGTTTCTCAACATTCATAACTACAAAGACTACCTAATTAATTTACAAAAGTCGAGATGTTCACGCAGTTTATCTATATATGACAACTTGATCGTAGCGAGTGCGACTGCTGTGTGTATTACTGTATTAACGTCGCATAATTTACACTTACAGATACGTCATTGGAGGCCGTACTGAGGAGATAAATGATACAGTAGGTAAATACCGTACGTCAAAATGCATTCGTACATATGTTTAAAATCTAGTATATACTTTTAGACTATATTTTCTATAGGTTTCTTTAGTTCTGCTCCTAAGGTATAACGATGAGCAATTAGAATTAGACGGATCGAAAGTCTAGTCTGAAATCTCGTCATAAAAACAATTCCACAGACAAATCAACTAAAGATATTACTGACTAAATACTACCTCGAACCGATTTGACATTAAGTTTTTAACTTCATGATTTAATCACATATAACATAACCTTCTTCCAGTTTGATTTATGACGACCAATCAAAACTATAACTCTATTTTTTATGAAGGACAAACAAATAGTAAGCAACAAGTAAAAAAACGGAGCAGCTTTAGCTTGGGAAATATTTTTATTTAATTGGCATAGTATACGTGATAGTTTGCAATACCATACCCAATTAATTCTGGGTTTAATTGAGTAAATCCAACACACATACACAGTACATTGGAAATACGCATGTCATGCAAGGGGCGTGATGATCATCATGCATTGGACTGTTCTACAGTTAGCTATCACAAGCTAAATCATACATAAAAAGCCACAGCCTGTACAATATTTACATGTAAATGATTTGCTGCTGAACCGTATATCAAGATTCGTTGGACAAATAATATATTTTTTAATATGAGTGGAAATGGTGGAACACGAAGGGTAGGGACGGATGAATAAAATTATGTTAATTGAAAGTTTGCTTAAAAACCTCACAACACGACAATAGGATAGTTAAATGTTGAATCAGATTCAACTTTTACAATCAGAGAAGTTTTTAAACCATATTTCCCATCCCATAGGCAAATGTAATGATCGAGATCGACAACTAACCATAGCCAGGATTAGCATCAATAGTACAATCACTAGAGAATATCAAGTGTAACACCTTCTAAAAAAATTGCGAGTGACGAGAGTTCACAAATAATAGTCTTAACTAGTGGACCTGTTGCTCGAGTTCGAGCAATTGCAAAGTATTACAGGCGTTATTTCAAAACGAATAATCCTAACAGTAATAATTTCCAATGTAAAAGAGTCAACTCCAAGATAATGTAATCAATCACTCTACTCTAGTTATCGAAACTGAAAACAAACGCTCTTGTGTGTATCATGTGTTTACAATGAACAGCTGTAATTAATACAAATTATTTGCCTGTTTAAGTAAACAAAATATTTTCTTCGTAAGAAATACATTGGGATTTTGATGGTCTGTAAGACAAAGCCAGAGGACTTTTATTACAGGAATTAGTGAAAGGGGGTGTCTAGACAAAAAATACTTTATTTTGACACGTCGTTTGTAAAAATCCGTTCATTATTAACGGAGTAGTAGTGTTTCGTAGAACTGCCTTCACGTATTATATATAAGGATGCCGCGCAGAGTCGGATCTGTAATAACTTTAACATATAACAAGTTTACAAAAATTAATGACTACTTCGACCGGTGAGGCTGATATTAAAATAATTCATTTGCATTGAATTGTATAACCGTATTGAACGAAGCTTTGCCTCTGGTCCAACCCAATGTAAAAACAATCCACGTGGTAAAATCGGCAATAATTTTCCCATCCCCACACACAAAGCATACTCATGTATCGAATACTCGACAAATGTAACGTTGTAATATTGGAAATAACCTTTCCACGAACCTTAACATAACATATCGAATGAGCAAGAATTTCACATGGTAAGGTTGGCACCGCTGTCCCGGTGAGTCATTGCGGAAGGTGGCGTCGTCGGCTCCTCAGCCAGGAGTGAGCACTGAGGAGTAGCAAATAAGTAACCTCTTGAGGTTACCGCTCGCCATGCCTCACCACTGAGATTTATTTATACCTACATCGCTCTCGTCTGTATTAGACACCGGACTCGCCATTGTCAAACTGTACAGAGGAGAGCGCGGTATAAATACAGGATGCGGATAGAAGACGCACCCTTATCAAATTTTGAACCGATAGACGGAAAACCATGTTCTGAAATATTTGCCCATAATCCAAGAGATATTTCGTAGCGAAATACAATCTTTTACCACCTTCAAATGTGCAATAAGAGGTGGATATGTAATAGAACTAGCTAAATTAGGGTTTTTAGAGTACGCCACTCGTTCCTGTAGCGTAGGAAAACGACTTGAAGAGATAAGGCGGAATACACGTCATGAGCTATGGCGTACCCCTGTCCACATAAAACACAATTAAGAGGGGAAGCGGTCGGACGATTGAAATAGTTCAAAATGTTCCAGAGAGTAGACTGGAGTAGAGTAGAGAGTAGGCAGAGGGAAGGAAGTTAGGAAGCAGAAGCGATAGAGCAGCGGCCATGCTGACTGAAGGGTGGGGGAGAGTTAGGGGTCATTACCCCCGACCTAGGCCTAGCCTACACATTCCAGCTTACATCCTCCCTAGTCCCTACATGTGCCTTACTATAGGTTCTGTGTTCAGTTGCCTATCCATAGCCTACTATTCCAGGCCTCACCCTACTGCGGTCTCAGTTTTGAGTTGCCTCTGCTTACATCTTCCCTACACGTGCCATACAGTAGGTTCTACGTTCCGTTGTCTAGCCCCACCTTATGTACATCTTCCCTACACGTACTATGCTGTAGGTTCTGTGTTTAGTTGCTTACATCTACCATACACGTGCCATACAGTAGGTTCTACGTTCCGTTGTCTAGTACAACCCTACACGTGCTGTGTTGTAGGTTATATGTTCAGTTGTCTAGAGCCAGGTTATACCTTCTCTATATTTCAGTGGGTTCGACATTCAGATGAGAGGGCATGTTTCTTATCTCCAAAAATTACTTATTCTGCAGGTTATCTTCAACCAACTTGTAATACATAGTACCATAGTTCAACGTGGAGTGGATAACATACTTGTTTACGTAATTTACCTACTCCGTTACTTTTCAATATAAGGAACAAACACAACCAATAGGGAAGGATTCTAGAAAAAAACAATAGGCCTATCTCTAGCAATACTTCCGAATTCACCGAAATAAGGTCCCAGTAACATAAAATCCATCACTTAGGCCTACAACCTGTAGTGTATGAGGGTAGTAACCAAAAGCTTGATAAAAATGGAAGATTCTATATAATTTTAGAAGTGAACAAGTCTAGCAAGCACAAAGTTCCTCACTTGCAGCATCGCAGTCGTCTTTATCAACGACAATAAAACAGTTATTGTCAATAAATAAGTCAAGCTCCTGATAGTGTCTGAAGCCCTCCACACTCGCACACCAACTCCCATTTCTCTTCCTCTCTCCAGCGGAGGACTTATGAATTGCAAAATACGCCCTTATAAACGGCACGATTCAAAACATATTTGGATACAATGAAATACAATGGGCAAATAAGGAAATACAAATAGCTTTTGTGATATCGGGGCACCAAAGGAGGGTGTCATAAAATATGCAACTCCATGCTTGAGGGGTGAGTTAGGAAGGACCACCGAGGGAAGAATAAGAATAACCTGTCCGACCGGATGTCCACCTGATGTCTCTGCTTCCGGTTCCATTTCCTTGTAATATTCGGAAACATTCTTGTCGCTAATGAATCAACTTTGTTAGCAGCAGAAGGAAACGGACCCAAGATTTGATTGAAAGAAATATGGCGGTTAAATTGCCTGATTGGTTTCACAAGATTTTTCTAGGTAATTGGAAAAAAATAAATATCAAATAAAAAACATACTTTAAACAGGAAAACACATCGTTACTGTATCAGTGGAAAATTTCAATTTAGCCTAGTGCAAGTTATCTCTATAATTCAAATGTTTAATCAATCTGATGATTCATAAGTGAAAACCCGCATATCTAAGTTGAGAATATAAGATAAGTTAATGCATCTATTAAAATTGATAAAATTGATTGAAATAAACAAAACCTGTTTCCTCCGCTATGCTAGTTTGAAAAAAACCACGTGCATTTCCATTCATTTTCCTAATATTCCCAATTCTCAAAAATATAAAAACAAATAAATTTATTCAAGACCTCACTAAAAATATTAAAAGATAAATAATCTTAGTATGAAAATATTATTTAAATGCCGAATATACAAATTAGAAATTAAAGGACGCATGCAAAAGTGGCAAGACAAGCCCCCAGTGAGTAAGACATTATACATCGAGTCCGAGTATAGTACGTGTCCATTATTGTAAAGAATACAAAACATTTCAAAACACGCGTTTATCATAATAAACATCAGGTGAAGGGAGCCTGCCTATCTCAACCGCTGAAAAACCTACCCTCTAGTACACTGGGGTGAGGGGCGCTAAGACGAGGGCTAGGGCTCGGCGGAACCAGTCTTACAATACAATATAGCAGGAAATGCAATACAATGGGGTGCACTTGCTCTTATGTATCCTAGGTGTTTACAAAATAAGCAGACGGACAGGCGATCATTAAGGCATTGAACTCTAGACCAACCACGTTGTAACGTCGACCGGAAATGAGCCAGCAACCGGAAGTATAGTGCATTTCAAACAATCGACAGGTGTTTCCGCGTAGACAGACGATTAGGTTGCATTTTACCAAATATGAGGGATAGCGATACTAAAAAAATAACTTAATTTACTGGGTGTAGGAGTGTACCTAGTATTCGTGTAAATGTACGGTTCAGAGGCAACCTTGAAATTTGTAACAAAACATAAATCCGTATTTATATGGTGAATCTATTGTAAAGCTAAAAATACTCATCGTATAACATAATGTACTATTATCTCGATTATGATTCATACTCTCTCAGATTGATCAGATTAACGTAACAAACAAGTGATGTAATATCCCTATATTCAGATAGCCTAACTTGTAGCAACTCGGAGTCGAGTTACACATAGGAATAAAACTATTACGTAACTACCATCGTCGTTCACCCGTACAAAGAGTGATGACAAGTCTAAAGTACGTAACAGAAAGTAATTGAATCAAGAACGAGTGAGCCGGAGCCGGCTTGATGCCGGACGTGGCCTACAGTTGTGCCACCAACACGGCACAACAGACCGGAGTGGGAAACTGTGGTGATGGCAACATCTTACCCGGACCGACACTCTAAACTAACTACGTAACTAGGTGAAACCAGTAGTGTAACAGTAAGTAAATACCTGTGAATAAAACAATAACAAAACACACTATTAAAAAGAGTCCACGCACAGTCTACGCACTAAACATGCTCGTATGAGACACCCGTGCACGAGAAAGGGCGAGCGAAGCCGAACACCGACTATCGCTTATCCCCTCCACCACCACAGCACTCCCCACCACCAACGGTGCTGCCCTCCCGCGGCGACCGGCGCAACCACACGCCGACGAGCCGCCATTTTGTAATGTGGAATTAAAATGGCGAAATTTTCGCAATACATTCTCCTATCAGTCTAGTCAACCCTTACATTTCCTGTATGCACCGAGTGCAGGAAGTAAGAGTCACCGAGATTTATGAAAAAATATAAAAAAAATTTCAACTTTTATAATTTGAAAGAGTAATTTATATTCACAATTACTTAGTCTTTAATCAAAGCTGTGTGTAATATAAATACAAATATATTTTAGATATGTTTTTTTCTATTCTCCCACAAACTAAACTTAACGTATTAAAAAAAAAAACGTAAAACTATAATCATACTTCAGGATTTAATTACAATTTGGTGCCATTATTTCATTATACTTTGTGTCAGAACATTATATATTATGTATCAGTACTCAAAATATTAATTAGTATACTGTGCAAATGCATGGCAAATAAATTTGATTTTATCCATGTAACCCGCACTGAAAATGAAAATAAGCACGCCAACAACTCAACCACTTTGAACAATTGTAATAGACAACTTCATTACATCCATTAACTTTTATCGTCCTATATTTCCATAACTAACGTCATAAAATAATTAATTGGATAATTTCACATTTTTATGTACAACGAAGTAATAAAGTCGTAAAAACTATTATCATCGGTTATTTATGCTCAATCTTTTTTTCTGAGTTTTAAATTTAATGAATAATTTATTTATTAGTACAGATTATCAAGTCGTAAACCTTTTATCACTAAAGTAGGTATACTATTCATTTCATCAATGATCGCAGTGTATAAAAAGCGGGTAAAAACCCACATAGTACTACAACTATAATGCATGAATACAGGAACCAAAGAACCTTGGGACAATAGATGCACTATCTTGACCGTTTTTCGTTCTTAAAGCTGCAGTATAATTATTAAACATACTCAATTTTTCAATTTATGGTTGAGTTTAAGAGTAAGTAAGCTATCGATGAGCTAACGTAGATAAATAAGGTAGTATGGGTACATTAAGGTATGTATCTGGGTACTATGTAAACTGCCATTTTATCTTTAGTATTTATTTTTTGTAGTAAAACTATTTTAGCCCAATAGAACAACGGTTTAAATAAACTATATAGCAAATTGTCTGGCAATTACAGTATCCTAATCAACGGTCTTGGCACACGTTGTTTTAAATAATATACAAACATTCAGTCAACACTCCTACGCAATTAAAATATATCAAAATAGTTATCGGCTTTGAAAGAAGGGTAGGAGGTATGGTTTCAGTATCCAAAGATATCACGAGTCCATATTCCAAAAAACGATGTCAGTCACCTGAACGTAAATATCGTCATTTCTATAGGTCACGATGTATTTAAGTACAAACATTTATTTGTAAGAATTATTAGGCAAACATGTTTCTTTAAAACATCTTTTCTCAGCTCGTGTGCATCGCAGGGAAAATCTACGGTTCTTCTGTTGGAAAGATATTTTCCTGTAGATGTGTATAATCACTTTTTAAATTAAAATATGCTAAAAAATAAACACAAAAAATTATTTAAAATGTTTAAAAAATAAAATAGGCTTTATGGGTTGCCATGCTGGTGACGAAATAACAACTACATATAAACAGAAAATAAAAAAGAAATGGAAGAAACACCAATCACACGTTTTATTCAAAGTGTTGGGTGAAAATAGAGAAGTCTGTTTCGTTGAGTTTTTGACCCGAGTCCATATTCCAAAAAACGACGTCAGTCACCTGAACGTAAATATCGTCATTTCTATAGGTCACGATGTATTTAAGTACAAACATTTATTTGTAATAATTATTAGGCAAGCATGTTTCTTTAAAACATTTTTTCTCAGCTCGTGTGCATCGCAGGGAAAATCTACGGTTCTTCTGTTGGAAAGATATTTTCCTGTAGATGTGTATAATCACTTTTTAAATTAAAATATGCTAAAAAATAAGCACAAAAAATTATTTAAAATGTTTAAAAAATAAAATAGGCTTTATGGGTTGCCATGCTGGTGACGAAATAACAACTACATATAAACAGAAAATAAAAAAGAAATGGAAGAAACACCAATCACACGTTTTATTCAAAGTGTTGGGTGAAAATAGAGAAGTCTGTGTTACATATTTTTCGTTGAGTTTTTGACCACTGGATGACCTCTACAGTGCATTCAAACAGCCGTGGCACCTGGCGGATTAGGAGACCCCATGGAAACCCTTTGGGTCTCCTAATCCCTCAGGTGCCACTGCTGTAAGAACGCACTATAGTTCATATTACAGTACTTAACTTACGTTTTAGCATACTAATCTTCATCCTTTTTCATTATCTTTAACCTTAATCTGGGTATCTATGTATTGCAATCATTCAGTTCCACTTTTCATTGTTTCCCCTAATTCTTGTTCCTTTTACTTAACATACAAGTAATCGACGATACAATACTGTTGATAACAAACGTTGTGCGCAATGATAATATGGAAGAATAACTGATAACATTCTCTTATAAACATGTCTCTTGCTTAAAGGCCAAAGGGTAAAGGGTATATTAGTTTCGTTAAAATCCTGTGAATAAATTAATCTATTCAACTAAATTAGGCTACTGTTTTACGTCGAAATAGTCTACATTATATTTTTTTGCTAGACTTAATATATCTAAATCGTAGAAGTTTGACCAATAGTTTGTTTACCTGACAATACAATTATCATTTTCGCTACGTCTTAAAATCGAATAAAGGAAATATATATTAAATTTTGTTTAATTTCCTGTAAAAACTATTGCATAGCTGATTTTTTTTCCCTTTGAAATAGTCTACAACAAACAGAGTGTATACGATTTTAGGGACATAAGTCCCTATAAAGCTCAAAATGTTATACAGCTATAATATTTAAACAAACTAAGAATCAAATTATTTATTTGTCTATATGGATATTCCTGTAGGCCCTTCACCATATATTTGTGTAAAAAGTATCTCTTTTTGCGTTGGTTATTGTTATTTATATATAAAATCAAATGTATATGTCGTATCTTTGTCCTTTATGCGTCACTAACCGACCGATCGTGATGAAACTTTATTGAAGTAAAAAATTACTATACAAAATCTACAGTTTTATTAGCCACATTGAGTAATATTTTATGGTTTTAGGGTTCCATTTCTCAGTTGTCAAAGCCAATCACAAATTGGCTTTCCATCAGAACTGACAGTTGACACGAAAACTTTTGGTTTGGTTTTTGGTTTTCAAAAAGCCTCAATTAATTATAGATAACGTTATCCCTGGTTTTAATATAGTAAACAGTATATTGCAGAGTTAGCTGGCTAAGAAGTAAACCAACTTCATATATTGAATACTGGCTTGGAGATATAACGCGAGCAACGAGCAACTAAACAAAAACCAGCTGTAAATGGCTTCTAGGGCTATTCTTATGGAGAACATTTTACGTTATATCTAATTTTGGGTAAAATTTTTGGAAACTTTAGTATTTTTTCCGCCATCACGGTATAGAGACCTTTAAATTGGGCCTTGAGCCCTCTCCCATCGTTCTACGACATCCCAGTCGTCCACAATTTTGACGCAAAGAATCGGCTTACGTAATAATTAATATATAGAATGTCAGACCGATTGCTTGCTTACCTAAGTGTAAAATGTTCACTAATGATTATTTTGATCCAAGCAAATTAATTTGAACAAAACTTATTATATAGTATCTATATATATAATACGCTAAGCCAATTTTTGTGAACAGAACTCCTCCCACATTTTTGGACCGATTTTGATGATTAAAGTGTCAAAAAAATTGCCCTTATCTGTAGTTTTGCAAAGTGTTTTTGGTTTTTTGAAATCTTTATTAGTTTGGGCAGGATCTTCCATCAAAGTTGGGTTTTCTCCCATAAGATTAACATGGGGAAATCTAAATATTTCATTGGAAACTTTGTCTCCTCTAATTTGAGAGAACGGCTGGGCGTAGAAACTTGGTAGAGGTCTCCAAAGAAAGGCCTTGGTCTGTAGATGAGTTATCAAAAGAAACACGAAGTAAATTCCCTTAGGGCTCTCCCCAGAAGCTTTTAAAAATACCTCGACAAATTTGTTTACATTTCGGCCATGTGGATAATACTTTTTAATGAAACAGCTGTTGATTTTTCAATTGTGTTTTAAACAACACACATTTATCAGGAGTTACTAAATTGTCCAAAAGAAGTATTTGCAATGCTATTTTATGATTTTAAAAAGTATTTTCTTCTGTATCATGTCATGTTTTGCAATATAATATTCCATTACGAAATCAGTGGAAATTCCTTTTATCACAGCACTCTTACAATAATTCCTTATTGAACTATCTTATATCTGCTGTACGGGTTGTTGTCTGCCTGTTCCCCCACTTTTGCCTATATTTTATCATATTATTCTACATATCATCATAGGTTCACGAGATTATTGTTATACATGTTTTCAATCATTGTAAAAATCTTCGATTGTGTAATACAATACAAAATTATACAAGTGCAGAAGGGCACGGTGCCCATTTGAGCAGTGTCCACATTCTGCTAAATTAATAGTAGTTTACAGCAACTGGATAAAACATGTTACAATATTTATGTAGAAATATGTGCATAATTTAGAAAGTCAAAACTGCAATTTACTATAGACTTTTCAGAGAGGTTACTTCGATGTTGTTAATTCAGCTTAGTGAAAACATAATATAGTAGTATACAAATAAGAATTTGAACTCTTAGAGAACCTTTGAATGTTATTAGAATAACAAAATGGGTTGCGCATGTTTACTAACGCTACTCAGCAACAAAAACCATTTAATTTATCTCTAAAAATATATTCTTAAAGCGCACTGAGCAGCAGCCTCGAAAATACTATGTAACTTACCTATATAGTTACAAAATGATCAAACTCACATTGTGACATTTATAATTCGGCTTATATT